AGCCCTTCCTAGTCAAGGCACATAGAACTGTGCACACCCCCATTACATGGACCAAGTCCTCACAAAGGGCTCCGTCAAACACTTCGTGCTAATCGAGGTTTAACAAACCGCAGTCCCGTTTATCTGGGAAAGCTGGGAGGCAGCTTTCCCAAAAAGAATACAAGCGGCATTCTTCTCCACAAGTCTCCTAGACAGTGTGCGGGGCTGGCCTTGAAAAATAAGCGGTGTGGCAACCTTGTCAACAGTCAACACCACTCTTGCGAGAACAGGATAATCCATATTGAGAGGTGCTACAGGACTCTGGTGCCTCGTGTCACGGCGATTCCTCTCTTGGAAAAGCAGAGCCAGAAGAGAGCGACAGTCCAAGACACCGGTCCCGATGCCCCATCTCAAAGCAGCGTGGAAAATATTGACAAGGTCTAAATGCATTAACTCACTGGGGCATCTCGAAAAGAGAATCATAACCCCTTCCTCAGCCCAGCCCTGATTTACCAGGAGAGCGCCAAGGCTCCCAAAATTCCTCCTGGCTGACTGGAGCAAGGAGACCCATCATTTTCAGAAAGGTGCTATCAGAAAGCACTCCCCACCTGTCTCCTTGCCAATATCCTTCCCTTTCAAGTGGTTACTATAGAAATCAGGTACAAGGCACAATCCCTTTGTTGTTAACACCAAATGATCTGTTTTCATCCTGAACAAACCTTGATAGATCTTCAAGGCTCAGGACAAGGTCTGCTTCCCTGTTCGTGCTTCTACAGAGTAAAGCAGTCACTGGAAACAAGCCCTGATTCAGGGCTGCATTTCTGAGGAGGCTCAGCTTGAGATGGATGCAGGCAAGTGGCCATAAAGTGGCTTCCAGGTACACTTACCCTTCCAAATCGCCACACCAAGGCCTCATTATGACTTAAAGTCACTCAAATGGCTGCTCTCCCTTATAGTAACTTTCTGCAGGGAATACCTGGGTAACCCCAGAAGTCCGTGGGACCTGATGTCCCTTTTCCCACTCCAACCTCTCCCTTGTGTGTCCCTAGATCATTGTTTACCAACCAGTGTGCCATGGCACAATGGTGTGCTGTCAGAAATGAGCAGGTATGCCACAGAATTTTGCCATGGCAATGAGCTACAACAAGCTCACAAATATGGGGGTGGAGAATGCCTTACCAGGTGTGCCGCAGAAAAATTTTATTAATGTAAGTGTGTCTTGGGCTGGAAAAGGTTGGAAAAAACTTCCCTAGATGACAGGGCATAGAGGGAAGATGATCCAGGGTATTCTACCTACTCTATGCCAAGTATGGACTGCCTACCTAGATGCTGCCACAGTAAAGGGGCTGCACAACCCAGAACTGGGGTCAAGGTCTCAGATCCTCTTTAAAGACACTTGCTCCAAGAGTTGCTGGGTACCTTGGACCCAGCTTAAAACACCTTAAAGGGGCCTGATGTTTGCTCATCCTCTGCAAATCAGCTCCGTCTACGGCGCTTCAAGCTGTGCACTCCACAACACTAGCCACGCTCAATGGTCTTTGCTGGCGTCAAGCCATTTAGACTCCAAATGTCGGAAAGGGAGATGCTGGGGAGAGGCGAGGCAATTTACAAAACCCTAACAGGAGCAGAAACATATTCTTGCTTTTATAAAGGTTTCAATATAAACAGCTTTGTTGTTGTTATTGCTGCTGTTGATTTCGACATTCCCCTGGGCTATCAAAAACTCAAGGCTGCGGCAGCACTCAGCTGGAGAAACAGAAAGCAAAACTGCCTAGAAAGAGAAAATGAAAGTCACTTGCCTGGCTGCCCCATCCCAAGCTGAGGAGGGGCAAGGCCTGGCGCGCGGGGGACGGGGGCAGGGAAGTAAAGGAGACTGCTTAAAATTCTTTATGCTGGAAATTAGCAGTACAGCTGGCAGAGGACTCTATCAGCCCCCAGAGCAATGCTCTCTGCAGCCCCGGGAAAGACGAAGGTGCCAGTGACATTCGTCAGGGATCTAGCTGCTATTAATCCAATGCAAGGGATAAACCTGGGCAGCATGGGGTTGGATCACCCTACAAAGCTTGCAAGGATAGATCAGAAAGAAGTGGGAGCTGTACCCTGCTTATGCCCCTCCAGTTTCTCTCCTAAGGAGATAAGCCATACAGACCCTTTCTGAGTGTTTCTGAGCTCCCTTAGGGAAAAAAAGAAGCCTGCCTAAGCCACCTCAGCCCCCAGACCAAGTTCCCAATGGCCTCTAGAATAAGCATAGTCAGCCCTGTTCTTGCAAGGCGCTAAGCACCAAGGCTGCCGAGACCATGTTAGGATTGGACCGAAATCCTATCATGGGTTTTGCCTGCAAATATCATAGGCACCTTTCCAGGCGCAAACATATTGGGGTAGATCTGCTGGCATCAGTCTACAGAGCCCCATTGGCTTCCCTACTGCTGCTCCAATTTGCACCAGTGGAAAAGCAGCTGGCCATTTTTCTCTCTCTCTGTAACGGTCTGAAAATCTCTTCTAAAACATTTCATCCTCAAGGAGACAAATGATTTAACACTCAGGCCCTCGGCTCCCGACCCAAGCAAAAGCTGCCCAAACGTGAAACAAACGCATAATGCGTGGTGATCAGAAAACTCCACAGGAAAAACATTAGCCTTGTAGAAAAGTGCATTGTTCCTAATACAGAATTTATCAGGCCGATTTATAGATTTTTCCTCTGCACAATATGAAACCTGGATCTGAGAGGCTATTAACTCTGAGGAGATCCATTAAAGACTCCCATCTGCAAATGGTATTTAAAAGTATTGCATCATCCTGGATATTGTCATGTTCTTTGACTATGACTTGACTGCAGGTCACACAATTAAAATTGCCTCCAAACTCTAAAATCCTTGACGTAAAGAAAATAATAATAATAATGCTCAACAGCCTTGAACAGAGACACTTCTATCAGCTCCAACCGGAGCCCATAAATATTAATGCCTCCATAATTAGCCTTTTTAAATAATGCATCCAAAATTAAACACCAACATGGTTATAAATCAGTCAGTGCTTTTTTGTGGGTTTGGGGGGTTTTTGATGTTTGTTTCAAGCCCATAAAATAAAATGTCACTTCCCTCATCATCTCTCCCCTCTATGCTGGCAGGATGATGAGGCCCTGATCTGGCCTATCTGGTACCATTTGTAGTCAAAAGTCTTGTTTTTTTTATTAAAAAAAACCCCACATCTGCTTTTGGATTCGCAAACTAATGACAAGCAACTTGCCTGAGCCAAAGCTGATCTAATGTTATTGAAACCACACGATGTGAAGGGAGATGGGAGGCAAGCTCTACTTGTGAGTCAAGGTGTGAGAGAGAGGCATGTTTTATGCTCCCCACTGCCTCACTCTCCTGTTTTCTCCACAAGCAGCAGGTGGTAGTGAAATCCCAGCAGTGAGACCAACCTCACCTCCCCAGCATGAGTGGTCTAGAAGGTGTATTCCCTGCTGTATATCACTGTCTCTGCAGCCCTCATCACAGTCCTGACTGCTCCATTCTGCTGTCCAGGCACTATGCCCCAGGGCCTCTTAACATTTCCTTTTGCATGTGGACATGTCCTGGGCAGACAGGTACAGCCAGGTCCCCACAGGCTCTTCTCTTTGCCAGCAGCCCCAGATGCCGATGCATGAACATTCACTGCAGGTGTCCTGGAGGCACCCCAAGACACTGCTTCTCAACCGCTGTTTCCTTGATCAAAGTGGAAAGCGCAGCTTGTTTGAAGAATCGGCTTTGAAGTTGTTTGTAGCAGAGCTCTGGGTCAGCCCTCTGAAGGACTACACACACTGGCGGGAAACAGTCCAGCCCAGATGACTATACAGCCCCTCTCCTGGAATTACCTATCACTCTGTTCCACAGACCAGCCTGAATGTTACTAGCACCAGAGAGTATCAGGCAAGCCAAGAGAATCACTCCATCACTACCTCTGAATTCTGGGCTCACATCCACGCCAATCTCTTCCCTAAGGTTAACATCCTGTCCCAACTGCCAGGCTGTCCAACTCATAATTGGATATCCTAATAACTCACATTTCCATGCCTTGTTTTAGTACAAGCACAGCTTAGACATCCCAAAGGCCAATGTTTAAAGTAGGTTTCAGCACAGCTGAGAGAGAGAGCAAGGGCACAGTTCCTTCTACTTAGAAAACTCTTGGGCAAATGCTGCATAATATGCAAAATGTTCCACTAAGCCTTGCTGTGACTTTCCAGCCTGCCATCCAGCAGCCCTGGGAGGCAAGTACCTTGGTAGGAAAATGTAGGACTTTACTGCTTTTCCCCAGCCAAGTCCTTCTGCCCTGTATGTTAACAGTTTCCATGAATAACAAGACGTCCAGCACGTGAAGTCCAAGTGATCGCTACAGCATCTGCATTCCAACAAACAGCCTGTTCCTTCCAAGGCTTTGCAAAAAGAAGTCAATTGTGCAAATGAGATTCTGCTGGAAGCAGCGACTGGCAAAGCTACAGCATTGGCTTCAGGTTGGTTGCCTTGCTCTCACTTCCAGATCAAAGTACTTGGCATCCAGTAAGGAGATGTGGGGGTTTCTAAGCTTTTGTGGCCCTCCAACACAGCCCTCAAGGTTCTGCAAGCCAGGAGATGCCTTCACTAACACTCTGCTATGCACATCTGCACAACACAGCAGCTGGCAGGGCATTTGCAAGGGCGTCGCTGATTGAAACTTAGCAAACAGTTCTACTGATTAAAAGCCACTGGAAAGGAGTCCACCTCCTCCATGTTAGAGCTGGATCAGGCCTTTGGGCTGGGATGAATTATAAAGCACAGGTGTTTAGAGACTTCCTCCATGTTCTCAGGGACCTGACCCCTTTTCACCATATCCAAGTTTGAGAGGAGAACAAGATGACTTGGCTCCCCAGTCCCCCTCCACCAAATCCCAGTGAGACGCAGAAATACAGCCGGCACCCTTGGCCCCCACCTGCCTTAGTCTGTGCTCCCCCACTGTGCCTGCCTCAACTGGCCCCTTTCCCAGAACACGCCCAGGTGACTTACGACTGGTGGACACTGCAGTTGTAGAAGACAAAATCCACAGAAGCAAACTTCTTCCCAGTCTCCTTGGATTTCAGGTAGAGCTTTACCACTCGCTTATCGCCTGAAAGAGAATCAGGTGGATGTGCCATTCAGAAAGGTGCTGCCGGCAGGGGAGGTCACACACCAGAAAGGGACTGAGGGAACCCAGTGCACAGCTCAGCACTGAGCAAGTGAGGCCTGTGGTGGAGCAGAGCAGTGATCCCAATTAACCCCAATTAGCTAGGACAATGGCCCAACTCCTGAGCCAAGAAGAGAGGGAGCACTTCACCATGCAGCCTTCCAACCAGCTGGCAGGGTTCAGAGGCCAGGTGAGGTCACTCAGCACTATGCCTCTACTTTGTGAGGTACTGGTGAGTAGGAGCAGAGGAGCACAGGCTTGAGCAAGGGTTTATGGCAAAGGAGAGGACTGAATCCTTCTGTGTTACAGCCTCAAGCAGTGTCCTGAGGAGTTCACTATGAAATCACAAGCCCCATCTAGGGAGTTGGGCCACCACAAAAGCCCTCAATTGGATATAGCCACAGGCCCTCAGTATGCAGTTGGGCTTAAAGAGTGGGAGAAGATAGGATAGATCACAGTCAAACATCTACTCCTTCCCAGCTACGGGACCATTGTACTCTGCCTTTCCTATCTGGAGTTCAATCCTCCTTCCTTCCAAGACTGCTTTGCCACACTCCAGAGACTGATCCCTCACGGCACTTCCTTCTGCAGAAGAACTGCGTTTCGTGCTTACCCGTGTTGCACCCCAAGCTCCTGCTTCGGGGTCCATGCAGAGCCCTGGATCCTTTATAAGCCATTCAGGTCCTCCACTGGGAGAGGTGCAGCCAGCAGTGCCCTTCAGCTAAGCCAGCCTCTCCCAAAGGGACATGGAGAAGACATGCTAGCTTCTCCAGTTCATCCTCTTCAGGCCCAAGCAGGGCTCAGCCCCACACACCTTTCTCTATGGTTTTTCCTGTCTAGCTTTGGATTATGGAGCCTCCTTGCCCTGAGAGGACTACTACACTGCCAATGTCACCTGGGTCCCAGGATTACATGTGCATGATAGTTGGGAGCAGACAAGAGCGTATATTTGTGCAAGATAAATACAACAGAACATGCGTGTGTATATGTAATTGTAAAGGGATTCTCTCCCAGCCTCTGGGGACACTGATGTCAGGAGCTATGCATGGTTCCCCAAACTCACCCCGGCCCCTGGTAATGGGGATGACATCCTTTGCAGAGGGAGAGCTGCAGTAGATCCTCCCATCTTCGATGCGGCTCTCAGACTCAGTGAAGTCTTCAAAGGAGCAGTTCACCCCAGCTGAGAGGTCTGGGACGTTCCAGGCCTGCAGCACCAGCTGGGGTCAAGAGAAAGAATAGTCACCATGTAAATCAGCTAATGAAAGGAGCTCTTGAATCATGAACAGCCCCAGTCCAGAGGAAAGGCTAGAAGCAGTCCCACTTCCCTTCCTCAAATCTAGCAGAAAACCTGCCACCAACCCAGAAACAAGCACCCCTGCCCCCTCTGGGAAATGCAGAGGACAGGACAGGAGGTGAAACCTAGAGTGTAAGAGCAGAAAGAACCACTAACCCCTCAAGTCTGACCTCATTCCACTACAGACCACTACATTGCACCTGGCTTTCCTTCGACTGAGCCCAATGGCTTTAGGTTGATTAAAGAATATCTTGCAAGAATGCATCTAAGCTTGAAGACATCAAGAAAGGGAGAACCTACCACTTTCCCTGAGAGTTTGTCCCACTGGTCAGCCACTCTCAAAGCAAAAACTCAGTGCCTTATTGCTCTCTTGGATGTCTATGGCTTCAGCTTCCAAACACTGGTTCCTGTTACACCTTTCTCTGAAGAGTTAGTTAAAGAGCCCTTCAGCACCCAGCATTTGCTCCTCACAAAGGCACTTACATGCTGTAATCAACTCACCTCTCCATCTTCTTTTTGATAAGCTAAACAGATTGAGCTCTTTTAGTCTCTTCAGCCCTTGAATCAGTCAAGAGTGTTCTTTTCTGCAAGGTCTCTGGTTTTTTCAACAGCCTTTTCTAGACTGGGAGCACCAGGACAGTGCAGTGTTCAGACATCAGCTTCATCCAGTCACACACAAAGATGAAGTCACCTCCCTAGTCCTCATTACAAAATACTCATACAGCCAAGACTCTCATTAGTCTTCCCCCTCCCCCCGGGCCCATGTGTCACACTTACAGCTCACGTTCCACTGGACGCCAAATCCTTTCTACAGCCTTAGCTTGCCAGGGTGCAAAACCCCATTCTGTATGCCTGGTCTGCATTCTTAGATGTCTGGTTACATTAATACACATTTCATTTGAAAGGGCCCTGTTTCCTGAACAGTCCCGATCACTTTTTACAACTGCCCCCTCCTTCACTGGTACTGATCACTCTATACCAACTTTGTGCCATCTGCACATATTATCACCAGATGGTAACACTTACATTTACTTCCAGATCAAATGCTGAACAGAATCAGGCCTTACACCAATCTTTGCAAAACCCCTCCAGAAAAACCCTACGAGATGGCAATTCCACTGACAACTGTGGTGTGAGATCTTTCTGGTAGCCATCCATTTAATATAGGCTTTCCTACTTAATGCTCATTGTTGGTCAGCTTGTTGAGAGGCACTGAGTTAAATGCCCTGTAAAAGGCAAAAGTATATTGTACTGGCACAGTCATTTTTAACATCCTATCATGTAATCACATCCGAGGTGAAATCGGGTTTGTCTGACAAGACCTGTGGTCCATCAAACCATGGTGGCTAACATTAATTATAATCGCAGCCTTTAATTTTGTGTCAGTTAAATCCCAGATCAGCTTTCACCTTCACTTGTCCAAGATAGATAACAGACCACCAGCCTAAAGTTACCTAGGTCATCTCAACTGCCCTTTCTGAACATCAGCCCAACATAAGTCCCCTTCTAGTCTCCTGGAAGCTCCCTACTCCCTTGGAATCAACCTGATTTATTAAACACTGACATCAGAAGGCTAAAGATCTCCTCAACCCATTCTTTCAGAATTCTTACATGCAAGTTACCCGGGCCTGTGAGGATTTAAACAGGTCTATCACTAGCAAATGTCATCCAATCTCCTCTTTAGTTACTAAGTTATTTCATCAACCTCACACGCTATAAGGACATCCTGCTTCTTTCCAAATGCAGGGCAGACATATCCCACAAAACTTTCTGCCTTTTCTGAGTCAGGGTTAACCATGACATCTCCAGGCTACAGGTTCTATCACTGTTAGGATTCCTTTTCATCCTAATAAACTCACTCAATCTTTTCCTGATTAACCTTAGCTTCCCAGTGAAGAATTTTATCATATGTCCCTTATCAATATCCTGAACTTCATAACATCTAATGTATATTAATGGCTATCTAATCTGCCCTTGTAGACTTGCTTACTTATCTCTAAATGCTGCCTTTGCTTTACCCCTGAGGCAGGAGGTAGCTGGTGAGGGTACCAGCGAGGTGAGTGGCTTACCGGGACCTCAGACATGGTAACCGATATGTTCTTGGGCTGGACGGTGAGCTCAACACACTGGCGCAGGTCAGAGGCAAAGCGTTGAGGCTCATCAGCCCTCTCGCACCGGTCCTTCCGCGAGCAACTGGAGAGGGATCAAACAGGCACAATGAGAAAGAGAATCCCCTGATCAAAGAGTTATTCCTCAGCCTCAGAGCTAAGCAGCACTATGCCTCTGGGAAAGCCTGGGACTTACTGCTGCATAGGGCCCTAGGCAGGGCTTGGGGATGAGGCAAGGCTTGAGGACCAAGGACAGATGTCTCCCAGGATGGAATACAGAATGAATGTGACATGGCAGGCAGGCTCTGAAATGCTCTGTAACCCCAGCACAACTGCAGACACTCAACAACATGTGTTTGGACAGGCAGTTTCTGCACCCACCAATGCCCACAACACACAGCAGTCCCAAGCACCCCACCCACAGCTTTCTATCCATCTACCACACCCCAGAACCAAGGCACCATCTGTATTCCAGTCCCACAGCACTGCAGCACCCCAGAAGAGCCTAATCCGCTCCCCCTTCAGCTCTGCTGAAGCCACTCGGTACCAGCCATGTGCTGGTTTGAGCAGTCCTTCTCCACAAGGGTCCTTCCCCATGCTATGGACCAGCTCTTCAGAGAGGAGAGAGCAGTACACAATCTCACAGCCCCTCCCTGATGACATCCCCTGGCCTCTCTTCTTTGCTCCCAGTGCTTCTTTCTTGCACCCCCATACTATACATTTCCAGAGGCTTCACAGCGCAGCTCAGGCTTTTCACACTACCTCCACACTGAAGTTGCTCCCCAACCCCTGAACCCAGCTCTGTCAAAGTGCTTTCCCTTAATGAGCTCCAGCCACGTCCCTCAGCTAGCCCTCCCTGAATCTGTGCTAACATTATTTCATTACAGGAAGCATTTAATTAAGTGCAAAGAGGAAAAAGAGAAAGAGAAAAAGAGAGAGCTTCAAGGTCCTGGCTACAATCTGAGCGATTTATCTCCTGAGTAGGCACTAGCACCATACTGTGCCCCAGACACACTCTGGCCTGCCCCTCCCCAGCCCCCAAAGGACTTGTGGAAGGAGGTCAAGGCTGGCAGCTTTAATTAAAATGCTTTGCATGGCACGAGAGATGGGCTTCCAATGAGGCACTCAAATTTCATCCCTTGGAATAAAGTCTTCCCCGTGCTGAAAAACAGATTTGTCATCTGTGTTTCCCTTTTTCAGCACTGCGTTGCCCCTCCCTCTTTGCCTGGGGGAGCTGAGCCCTGAGCCCCGCTGTCAGGGGACAGGGTCTTTGCCTCTAGCTTCCCAGAGCAAATTACAGCCAGTTCACGTGGCCCACTGCTTGAAGCACAAGCGAGAAGGAGCTGCCTGCCCATGGTTTATCTGTGAAATGACACAGCCACTTCCGGTCAGACACAAGAGGAGAGGAAGGGCAGCATGAGGGGCCCTAATGGTTTATCCTCAGTCTATCCCTGCAGCTGTGCCAGCCTCACCACTCAACCTCAGCTGTCTGCAGCTGGTTGGATGAGCACCGCAATGTGGTATCCCACCGCCAGAGCACCTGTTGCTGAGCTCTTTGGTTCTGACCTGAAACCTACCCTCCAGGGGACAGACAGTGACTTCTGCTTCTGCTGCCTGGGAAGCACAGGAGAAAGGCAGGCTCTGGAGAAGGCCCCAGTCACCACCTGCCAGAATCTCCCTCACATTCATACTCCCCCCTCTAGAGCACAGACTGCAACCTGACAAGCACCAGAGGGGTGGCCGGAGGCCCCAGTTCCCTTTCAAGCCCCTGCGCCATGCTCCACGAGGCTTGGCTTCTCCTACCAGCATCTGGAAACAGCCAGCCTAGGCCAAGAAAGGCTATGGTACTGCAGGGATGAAACAACCTAGGATCCAAAGAGTTAACAGGCCAGTCAGGTCTCTGACGCTCTTCCCCAGCAGCTGCCACCGACCACAGGGCATTAGAGCAGCTGCACAAGGGTCATGGGGTGAAGGCCTCCAGTTGCCATGGGGCTGGCATCGCTCCATATGGCGGGGCAGACCTCCTGCCCAGCCTCTGGGCAGCTGCTGTCTAATCCTCAGCCACCCGGCACATCCTCCACGTGCTGCATGACCCCAGCAGGCTGCTATCCAGCACCCTTTCCACACTGGGCCATGTCACTCTAAGGCATGCAGCACAGCTGGTGGAGTCAGCCAGAGAGCAACAGCACAAGCCAAATGCCCCCCTCCTCCCCAGCCTACAGCCAGTGCCTTTCTCCAACGGGCTCCCTCCTGCCCCTGCACACTCAGTGGAGCCAGTGAGTGCCACACCACCAGCAGTGGCTGGAGCCACTTGTCATGGGAAGGTCGGAAGGAAATCTGCTGAGCTGGGCTCTTCTATTCCCATCACCAGGGCTCAGCTAGGGCTGTAGGGGCTAAGCATGCAGTCAGGAAGTACAGATAGTGCACCCTGAGCAGGTGAGGACTCCCCAGGGGGGAGAACAAGGAGGATGCAGATCTGAAGGGGAGAGCTATGGGCCAGGAGAAAAGGGAAACATCACAACTGTCAATGAGGGCTCAGGCCTGTGAGAGCAGGGAGCAAGGAGCCAGAAGCAACAGACACCAGCACAGCCCCAGGCTTTAGCAAGGAGCCAAAGACAACTACCCACATAACTCGCTTGCTTAATGCAGAAGGCACTCAGAGGCCACAGCAATGGGTCTAAGTAGACGCCTTGGACAGAGCCACAGCAGCTGGCTGAGAACCCCGCTGCACCCTGGCTCCAGGCACTGGTCACGGGGAAGATGCATTACAGGCAGCCTGAGGGGAGCCAGGCAGGAGGGGTGCAGGGTGGGCAGGACATGCCAGATAGCGTACTTACATGTTATGAAGGACACACCAGCCACAGTGGGGATCCCTGGAGCCCAGGCACAGCTCACAGCTCTTGTACTGCTCACAGCTCTCCACAGGCACCCGCGTCACCTGGAGGGAGACAGAGACAGGGGGATGATGACCTCGCCTGCCATCGGGAAGCTGCAGGACAGCCAGCTCTGACCCAGCCATCTCCCTGGGGACCCCTGAACACAGGAGAGAGGGACTAAGAAAAGGGCACCCAGGCTTGGCCAGCAGAAGGCAGCACCTCCCTTGGGGGGCAGATGGCAACAGTGCCTGGACAGAGAAGGGAAGGAAGGGATTGGGAAGGACACAAGGATCCCACAAGACAAACACCGTGGTTGAGGAGGAAAATGAACTGGGACTCTCTCCACCTGGCGCTGGACCCTGCAGCATGCTGGATGAAGAGCCCTGCTCTTGGGTATGAAGGAGTTAACAGATTTAAAACAAAAGCCCAGGGCCCAGGCTCTGGAGATCAGGAGGGGCAGGCAGAGGGCCCCTTCCTGTGCTTTCATCTCACCCTTTGCCCCAGGCTTAGGAAATCAAAGGGCCAGGCTAACAAGTGACAGCCCAGGCAGCACAGACCTGCTCACTCATGCAGCTTGGGCAGCCCAGGCTCTCCCTGCCATGCCAGGACAGCCAGAGAAGCCCAGCTGTGATAAGCACCTGGGCACCAGGGCCCCACGCCTGCCAGCTGACTGCCCTGCCTCCCTGCCCTGCTCACAGCTTCCAGACACACGCCTCGCTAACCCAGGGAAGGGAAGGCCTTGATGTGCCACCACCGGAAGGTCTCCAAGAACTCCAAGAGTGGGGGGTCTGCTAGACAGAGACACGCCTTGGACAGGACCAAGCTGCCTCTTTCAGGACAGACAGCCTGGAGAGCACTGTGGCAATAGGCCCCAGCGTAAGTGTGGGGCTTGGCAAAGGAGCTCTGCCCTCCCTCCCACCACTTGGCCCTGCCACTGGGACAGACACAGGTTGGCAGTGTCCACACATAAGGCAGGATTTTCAGTGATGGGCACACTGATGTGTCTGGACAAGCCCTGTTCAGACACCCAGTCTTCATACAAAGCCCTTGTGCCCTCCCTCAGCACCAGGCAGGGAGCAGCAGGACCAGGGATGTGTGCCTTTGTATATGCCTCATTACCCTGCGAGTCTTTCTGGGGTCAAATAAGGTAAAATCTGGTCTCCAGGAGCAGAAGTCCCCTGAGCCCACTACACTTGCGTTGTTCCAGCCCCATAAACAGCTCCCTGCTCAGCTCTGGAAAATCTCACGCAGGCATGAACATAACTACAGATGCGGAGACACCAGGGCTGCATCCCAAGCATGGGGACACATGGGACCTGACTGCGGAGCCACAGGAAAACTCCCCCTCTGCCTTCCAGCTCCAGGGGAGCTGCACACACCTCGCTCCTTCCCAAGGCTCTGCTTTTCACTCTCTCCTTACACGCAGCGCCTTGCCCCTAGCCTGGAACATCATGATTAGCCACCGTGACCACCCATGATATTGTTGGTAACAGACATCAACTGTTAGACCCTGACCCCCAGCCCATGGGAAAGGGAGAGATGTTAAAAGGAACTGAATCAAGTCATATCTTCTGCCCACCCCAGGTTAACCCAATCACCCAAGATCTTGAGGTCACCTCCCAGGACAAAGGGTGTTCCAGTGTCCTGCCTTAGGGAGACAGCAAAGACTGAGCTCCCCAGGGGGACTGACAAGGGGAGGAAAGCAAGAGCCCCATGAGGACTCCTCTTCCTCAGTGGGTCCCCCGTGTCTCTCAGCTCCTCTGGAGGCTCTACGTGAAGGGAGGGCAGATATTCACTTAAAGCCAGGGAAATCTAAATGACATCCATCAAGAATGATTGAGCCTTGGGAGAAGAAAGTATCTCCTGAGTGACACAGAGAAAGCCAAGGTGCCAGCAACAAGGCAACCCCTTCTCATGCCTGGGGACCACCCTGGAAAGGTCACAGGGCTACGTGCATGCACAGTGCTCCCCCCAAATGCGTCCCCCTCACCCGTGACATGCAGCTCCCCACACTCCCATACCAATCCCACCCCTCCTCCAGCTCTATTGAGGCACCTCCAACCTAACCTCCAGCTCCTTCTGCTATTCTGGGCCTCAGCAGCCTACACAGCGTGACAGGCAGCCTCAGCCCTGACCCCCAGCTCCCACCCCGGCTATTCTAGGTGTTGGTCCCCACCCAGCTGTCCATGCCCCTCAGCAAGGCAGCTCCCCAAACTGAGCCCAAGAGATATTCCAGATCAGAGCTAGGTCACTGCCAGTGATGTGGGCCCTGGCAGGTGTGGTGAAGGGGGGCATCACTCCCCTGCTGCCCGACTGGCCTTAGGTTCTGGAGCTCGTGCCAGCCTCTGCATTAGTTGGGTTCAAGACAGCGAAGGAAAATGGGCTGCAACTGGGCCAATCCCTGTCCTTGATGCCCACCAGACCCCAATACTTGCTTTAATATAACTGCAGAAGCAAGCCTGAAAGGGTTACACGCTCTTTATTAATTGCTCCTCTAGATTTGATTAAAATCCCCTCATTCCTCTGGCCCTCCGAGCTCTGTTACAACTGTTCATTTAATTACTTTCCGCCAACACCCTGATAACGCCAGGCCGCAGTGGAAGAGCTCATTTTTATTAAGGAGAGGACCGGGGTAGGGAGAGGTTTCACAAGATGGGAAAGCTTTTTGCTCGTCAGCCAGGAGACAGAAAGGTTGAGTGAAAAGCCACCAGAGCACCGTCTCTGTGCGCGCCACATTTGTTGTGTTAGGCGCTGCACACATCCACAACTCGGTGATGCCACAATAGGAACGACAGTGGAGGCCTACACAGAAGGAGCCTGGCAGATCTCAGCCCACTCCCCAGTAGAACCGATGCCCAAAAAAGAAAACCATTGCCACATGACTGGCCCCCAGGTTGGCACACAGGGAAGCTACCCCATGGCTTGAAAGAGTCATAGGGGGTGAACCCACCTCCCCCAGTGTCTCCAAGTGGGAGCTGGGCACCATTGCCTGGGGTGGCATGCAAGGAAAGCCTGCTCCCCCTAGCCAGGCTGTCCTGTGTGGTACACAGCAGCCTCCAGCCTAGCTGCAACCTGCGCCCACTTGAGATTGGCAGAAGAGTGCTCTCAAGGAGCTGCGTGAAGCTTGGAAGCTGAGGGAGCCCTAAGGGCTCTTTAATCCAGGACGTGGTTTCACCAATCTGACGTGGCCAGACTTAGCTTGGTCACATCCTGCGCTGAGGCACAAGCAAGGCCTAGTGGTTCAAAAACAGGTCTGCTCCCAGCAATGTGCATCCTTGCCCTGTGCAGCGGTTTCCCCATCGGTAGAAGGGGGTGACAATGTGCGAGGAAGGGAAGAGGATGCATTTGCTGGTGGCTGCAGAACCTAACATTTATTTCAGCCACAGAAAATACGGTAGGCACACCCCACCCAGGCAGCAACACCCACCCCACTGCTCTATGCTGGCAGGCCAGCAGGGAAAAAGAGGCTCATCCAGATGCTGAGCACACAGGCTCCGTGTGATGGCTGCAAGGCTCAGATAAGGCTGGCCAATCAGAATCTTCTGGTTTACATACTAATGAGAACACCTGTAGCGCTCCAGTTTTTGTTTGTCCCTTCCATTGCCCTGGGCCCAAAAGCAAACAGCAGCCAGGAGAGGAGGAGGAAGAGGGTGGGGGCTTCCTCCCCACCAGCCACAGCACTTATCGCTTCCTCGGAAATGTCACGTGTCCTTCCCCAACCCTTCTGCACCCAGATGGGGTGCTGGCTGGTGCTCAGCCTTCATCTCCTGCTACTCTTGGTGATAGCAATAGCAAAAACAAAACAGAGCATCCCTCTCTATCCCCCCCTCCACCCCGGGGTTCACTGAGCAAGCCCCTCTCCTTGCCATGGCACCCCACTATCTCTCACTCCTGCCCTCAGCTCTGCAACCAGGTGACAGCAAGGAGGCACCCAGGAGCAGCTACATTTCAGTGACATTTCCCTGCCAGAACTTCCCCAGCCTCTAGGCAACTTCTCCAAAACACCCGTCTTCCCTCCTCCGATACCGTCTTCCCTCCAATCTCTCTCTCTAGACCTCCTGGGGAGCAGGACACTCCCTGGTGCCCCTTTAACTGGAGTCTACAAACTTTCAGTCTGAAAGGCACCATCTCATGAACACTCCTGCATAACTCAGCAACTCTACCCAAGTGACACCTGCACCAACCCCTTCCCATCACCTCATGCCTGGACACAGCTGGATGGCACTGGGGCAGCAGGGACTCCAGAGAGGGGGGAGCTCTCTGAGGACAGCCTGCAGACCCAGGCATGTGGCCTTCCCTCTCCAGCCCTCAGTAACAGGGAGGCGCCAGCATGTAACTGGCTCTGTAGTACCATCCTCTGGCTTCTTCACATGTTTCCACAGGAAGCAGCAGCTTGGACCTTGCCCCAGTTCCATCAGCCCTTCCTAGCTCCCAGCTGTTACTGGCCCAGGCACAACCCCTGTCCATCACAGGCAGGACAGCCTGGCCCCGGGACCTCCTGGCTAGCTCCAGCTCAGCATCAGGCCAACAGGAGTGGCTGCTCCATGATGGATGAGTTACAAAGCATTTAAAATCCCACTGATGTGCTGGAAGAGAGGCCAGGTAGAGGAGGCAGCAAGGGGCTTGGTGCAGAGAGATTCCCTATGGAGCCACTTCCCTGACCCTTGGAGGTACCAGTGCTGGTGGACTTGACTCTGCTGAATTTCAAAGCTTCTTTGCACCAAGCCCTGCAGTGCTACCTGGAAAGCCCAAGGTTTTCTCCAAGCCTCTGGTGGCCTATAAACTAGAAACAGGAACTGGAAAGAGGAGGAGGAGGGAACGGCCTGCTCCATCCCCCGGGGTTGTCTAGACAAGCCAAAGGCCCCAGTCCAGCATCCCCCACCTGGGAGAACGGCCAAGCCGCCTCCTCTAGTCCAAGTACAACTGTGGTTACACCCTCGCAGGCTCCAACCCAGAGGGAGACTCGAAGATGGAGACACACCCACAGTTGCACAGCCCGGACGCAGGGCCCCGACACCGCCAGCCAAAAGGTCCGTTCCATGGGGCCAGGAGTGCAAGGGCCTACTGCATCCTGGTTTCCCCCACACCCCTTACCCAGGCTCCAGCCCCACTCTAAGTACAGCTGCAGCCACGGTTAACGGCACTGTGGGGGGAACAAAGCTCCCAGGAAGCCAAAGCATGGGAACCCCAGGCATAACATAGATGGGGAAAGTTCCTCTTCACACAGTGCGAAGCCAAGGCTCTGGCCTCAGCATAACAACTCCCATGCAGCCAGCAGCCTGGGGACCCTTGGTGGGAAGAAGTGAGCAGGCTGAGTCCCCTTTTGTAGCCCTGCAACTGCTCCAAGCCCAGCAGAGCCAGAGTTGATGGGTTGTGATGGGGAACCCAGCAGCTCAGAAGCCTGCCCACGGCTCCCAAACGGTTAAGTGCACTGCGGGACGCGTCCTCGCTCGCTGCCAAAGCAAGACCACCGGAGGCCATCCTGCTATCTACCTCTCACACACCCTACTTGAAACAGCGTGTGCTGCATCCAGCCTGCCTAGCAACTGCAGCCAGAAGCCACTACGCTCTCCTCACCCGCAGGGCCAGCAGGTTAAAAACAATGTCCGGGACAGATAACGAAAAGCCCTTCAGAGCCAGTGACTTTGGACACTGCTTGCCCACATACCTGGTGAGGCATGTGGAGGCACATGTGGGAATGGAGCTTGCCTGGGACAGCTTGCAGGAGACTGGTGCTTTTCTCACTGCATCTGCCCACCCCCTTACCCCACCCCTCCATCCAACATTATCAGGACAGCATGCGACCCTCCAAGAGGCAGGCAAGCCTGGACCCCTAAGGAAAAGACATGGAAGGGGGAGTCCAACAGCTGCCAACAATCACTACTACTTGGGGCAAGGGACTACAGTCAGGACAGGATTGCCTGTGCCTGTGTCTGCACTTCATACAGACGGGGCTGAACACTGCAGCACAGCCCCTGTAGCTGCCAGCCCCCTCCAGGCTCCGCTCTCGGCCTGCACTGCGGTCCCAGCCAAAGCAAAGGGGGCATCTCTGGGTGCAAGGAAGCCCTGATGGGCTGCAGGAACCCAGTGATCTCAGCATCTCGGCTATTCTTCATGAGCATTAAGCACCAGCACACTGCTGCCCTTCTGATAGGGCTGAGCCCTGTAAGGGATGCCTGCTCCCAAAGCTGGGGGGAGACAGAAAAGGGGCAGAAGGGGACAGTGAAATACCCAACAAGTCACTGTCCTATGAAGGAGGAAGCAGTCACTGCAGTGATGGGTGACAAGGCAAAGAAAGCAGCAGAGGGAGCCTGCAGCGAAACAGGGAAAAGGTAACAGGGCCATGCAGCAAAGCAGCTGCCAAGGGACAACCCCGCAGAGAACAGGGCTGCCCCCTCCCGACCCCCTGGGCAATGTGCCGAGATTCCAGTGATCCTCTGGAACAGAGACCTCTACCCCAATGTGGCAGCAGCTGTCCCAGTACCCCTAGCAAAGTATGCCTGCCCTGCCAGAGGGTCTCCCAGTCTCCAAGGGGCAATCCAGCCCTGCCTTTTGCTTAAGCTGTTGAAAGAAGGACCAAACAGTGACTGTGCAACAGGTTCATGGCCACCAAGCCCAGAACTGACAGACAGACAGACCGATGCCTTCTACGCTGGCTGGCCTCAGGCAACTCTTTTTGCAGAGCTGAGTCTGCCAAGAGGTGATATCGGTACCTCCCAAGGGAAGTGCAAAGGTGCAGAGAGCACACTACCCCCTGAAGGAGCCAGGCCCACATGTGTGCACAGGCACGTGCCTTGTGAAGATGTGCCAGTGATCTTGGGCTCTCATGACCACGTGCAGCACTGCCGAGTTCTCGTATCAAACCGCAGCAATGGCCCAATTGTCCTGTGAGATAATGAGGTGGATCAGCTCCTGTCTCTGCTTCCTCCAGGACAGTCTAGGAGTCCAGAGGAAGAGTGACCAGAGCCAACAGCCAAAGTCTCACAGGGAAGAGGGAGGGAGTTGGGCACCCAAGGCCCACTGCACTTTTAGGAGCCAGCACCTCAAATCTCACAGGCTCCCTGGGAACACCTTACAAAGATGATGGTACTGTCAACCAGCAAAACCTCCTAGTCAACTGTGCTGGCCTCCAGCTCTGAGGAGAGGCAAAAGGACAATGACAAAGCTCTGGAAAAGGGGCTGCAGCAGCAAGGCTGCTTTCAGTCAGGCATGCAGTGGTAGGCACATGCTGGGGTCCCCTGCTATGTACAATCAAGGTGAGATGGCTGCCACCCCTTCACACAAGCAGCTCCCCTCATCTGCCAGCATCCTCCCAGTCTTGCCAGCAACACCGTGTTCATGCCCCCCCCACCTCTCCCCTCAACACCACCTCCCCACCTAGGCAGGTACCTGCTTTTCAGTCATGGCATAGATGTGCTGGCGGTCGGGGCTGAGCACCAGGTCACGCAGGATGGAGCTGCCTTCATGGGCCACAACATTCTCGTACTGCAATGCTGAGCGTCCACCGGTGCTGGATAAGTCCACCAGGATCTACAGAAAGAGGCGAGTGGGTTAGTACTCTGTTGTGGCCCAGCCATGCTGCAGTCCTGCCAGGAGCTGGGGGCACGGGGGCAATGCGCCACTGTGGAGAGAGCTCCCCAAGGACAAGGGCTGAGAGGCTTCACACATACACCCAGACCCTGCCCAGAAGCCCATATTGCCTCCCTGCTTCACCCTGCACAGCCCTCGTCTCCTCCAACACAGCTTCCAGAAAGAGTTAGGGGGGAAAACAGACAAGTCCCATCCAGCCCACTCCCCCTTCCTTCCAGGGCCAGGTTGTGACTTAATCTCCAAGGGCTTCACCCCACACAGGCTGGGGCAAAGTACCCCCAGACAAGAGGGAATGTCCCCTCTGGGACAACAAGTGGCTGCACCTCCATCTGCACAACCCTTTGGTTACCTTCACCCCTTGCTCCTGGCTCCAACCCCATGGACCCCTCCAGCATCTACCCCTTCAGATCTGTGCACACAGAAACCATGTCCCTGCTCACCAGCACGTCCCCAAACCACTCTTCTCCCCCCATCACCACAGCCTTGCAGCCACTCAGGTATCCTGCTCTTCCCCAAGTCCCCTCCAGTCTGCCTTTGGCAAATGAGAAGCCCAGTACTTGATGCAACAAACCATGCTCTGTCCCACATAAGCCACAAAAGGGCTTGTGCACCCTCCCCCTATAGCGTGGTGCACCTGGACCACAGCTGCCCAACAGGGACTGCACCTACCAGACGGGGATCTCACTGCCCTGCCTCAGTCTTCCTCAAGATCCAAGACACAGGGCATTGCTCAGAGCCAGGCCTGGGGAAGTCTTTATAAGAGACTTAGAAGCAAGGGGCAGCAGAGGGGCAGAAAGCACCCTTGCCCCACTGAGCA